GACAGACAGACAGACAGACAGACGGACAGACAGACGCGAAACTTTTTGATCATCACTGGAGTAATAGGCTTCGCTAATCGCTCAGCCAAAAAGAAGATATCCAATAAAAATAGAAGTACACCCTTGGGACCTCTTTAAAGTACAGTTCATGGCATTCTGATATTGTTTATGTGTTAAGCTATACCTTGTGTTGGGAAATATACCCCCAGGTTCCATCCCTACACCTACAGTGGCTCAGAAACTAATTTTATTGACAAAGGTACCAAAAATGCATTTTCGGAGATAATAGCCCCCTTCATAGAAAACTATGATTTATAACCCCAACTGTGGTTTCGCCTTCTAATAGTATTATTTCATAGTAAGCAAAACGTATGCGAAGGCAAATAGTACAACCAACCTATAACTAAAAATAAATATCATATAATTTATTAGTTATGACAACATCTAATATTGAATAGAAAACTTTGACTATTCCGACGTAAAAATTAAAATCTATAGGGCCGTTAACGCGTTAGCGTTAGAATTTGTGGTAAATATCCCTGCCATTGCACAGAAAGGATCTGGTGTTTGGGCCAATATTTGAATACTATACCTGTGTCTGGTTTACTTGTGCAACCAGGAACTACACAATTAGTGTATCCCATATTGTAGTTAATGGGCTGTGCTGTATTTATAGGTGGTTCAAATCAGGAATTATTAAATAAGACCAATAAATTTGACTCGAAGCTCAATGAAAATGGCGTCGATGGTCTTCCCTTTCGCGTGTGTTTGAAATGAAAGCCTTCAGAACAAGGCGGTAAGGTGGTGGCGTTCGAATATGATTATTGTCATTCGTGTCTGTTTCCTTACTATAGTAAAGGAGTGTTCATTCGGACGCAACCAGTCCAAAATTTTGTTGATGATTTGATTGTTTTATTTAGAATAAGTGGTGAAAATAGAAATATTATGAGAAGGCGGTAAGGTGGCGGCGTTCGAAAAAAAGTAGTGTCACTCTAGTTCTGTGCATTGTAGCAAAGGAAGGGATTGTTTGAACGTAGACTTTAGAGGTGTCTTCTTTCCTCTGAATTGGCTCGGCTCAGATGTAAAACTATCTTCATCTCTCTCGTGACGAGCCGAGCATCGCCATAGAAACTAGTAATAGTAAATTTGCAAAAAACTGAAAATTAAGTTTTTGATAAAACTTCGGGGGCCAATTTAAAATTGAACTTTCTAATTTTTTTAAAAAAATTAAGAAAATCGTTAGACAGGTTTCTAATATTCCATAAAGGGCCATGTAAAACAATTGACTATCGCGGCAAAACGATCGTAGAATACAACTCCGTGTCTAAAAAGATAAATCGCAATGCCTTTCACTTCTCTTTCACCAGCATATTGACATCCAAAATGGTGAATGTTGTTGGCCATGCTAAACAACGTACTATGAATGGTGTTTCTGGCCACTTCCAACACAGTAAAGCGGTATACCGCAAAACCTTTCACTTCCCTTTTACCACCAGTTGCGGGACAAAAATGTTTCTGATTCTGGCTACAGTGGTCCACGGAGTATGATGTTCCTGGTGAACTCCAACAAATAATAAGATAAATTGCTGGTGAAAGGGAAGTGAAAGGCATTGCGATTTATCCTTATATTCCTGTGGGTTCGCCAGGAACCTCATTTATGCTCCGGGGACCATTGTGGCCAAAAGCAAAATCATTTTGGCCCGAAACTGGTGGTGAAAGAGAAGTGAAAGGTATTGCGATACACCGCTTTACTCTTGAAAGTGACCAGAAACACCATTCATAGTACGTGGTTTAGCATGGCCAACAACGTAAACCATTTTGTATGTCAAATTGCTGTTGAAAGGGAAGTGGGGCATTCCGATTAATCTGTTTATTCCTGAGGGTTCGCCAGGAACATCATTTATGCTCTGTGGACCACTGTGGCCAAAAACAGGGATATTGTTGGCCCGAAACTGGTGGTGAAAGGGAAGTGAAGGGTATTGAGATATACCGCTTTACTGTTAATAAAAGTGACCAGAAATACCATTTATAGTTCGTAGACCAGTGTGGAAAAAAAAGAGCCGTTTTTTATGGTTAATAGCTGCTAAAAGGGATGTGAAAGGTGTCATGATGTACCATCTGAACGTTAAAACTTTACTAGGTACATTATCCATACTCCGTGCCGTGAACCACCGTGGGAAAAAAACAACAATTTCGGCTTTAAACCGGAGGTGAATGTGAAGTGAGAGGTATCATTATATACTACCTTACTGTTATACTGTTGAGAGTGATCAGAATCACCATTCATACTCCGAATGGCACATCTTATGGAGCTGATCGAGGGCACGTGCCCGTCCCAAGCACCTGCAGGTAAGAGCATATGCAACCCAAAGAACCGCAGCTTTTGGAACACCCGGTACACACTCGGTCCATCACGTAGTCCCGAAACTTCGTTGGAGCAATTTTCTGTGTCGTGAGGATTCTGGGTGGTGAAGCACTGCTCCATCACGACCCAGAAAATATCACGTCACCACACAGAATCTTCACGACACAGAAAATCACGACACAGAATCATTTCTCTCACCACACAGAATCCTCACGACACAGAAAATCACCACACAGAATCCTCATGATACAGAATCCTCACGACACAGAATTCAACCCCCGACTGCTTCACGACACAGAATACTCACGACACAGAATCCTCACGACACAGAAAATCACCACACAAAATCCTCGCGACACAGAAAATCACCACGCAGAAAATGCTACTCTGTGTGGTAATTTTCTGTGTCGTGAGGATTCTGTGTGATGAATACCACCCGGGGTTCTGGTACTTCCAGCGCCTCTTCGCACGTGTTTTGCAGCATGGTGTTGTCATGCCACCTAGGCGCCCAGTTAAGAGAACGTAGTTTACCCAAATAGTTGAGCAATCGTATGGCCTGCCGTCGGTGCGAACCGTGGCCGTCAAATGTGGTGTTCTGTGCTGGGCGCGTGGTCACCCAGGACAGCTGTTAGAACGGTGTTTGTGCAAGTGTGTTGGCGCTCCAAGTGGGCTGTTCTTATTATTTTATGCCAGCCGTTATTAGTTTTCCCTTTCGTTCTATAGGTAGAGAGAGATATCGTCGCATCCCCCCGGTTGAAAATGCTGTGTTGCTTCGTGTGACGTTAAATGCACACACGAGCACGCGCACAGCGGCTGCGGATGTGGGCGTCAGCCACATGACGGTGAACCGGATTTTGAGGGGCCATGGGTTGCACCCATTCAAAATCGGACACCACCAGGCCCTCAAACCAGGCGATCCACCGAGGCGATATGCCATGTGCGAATGGTTTCTTGACAGGGTAAGGAGATATGTCAAATCATTACTGCCGTTCAGATGTTTGTGATGATCGCGCTACCGACAGGACGATGACCACATGTGCACTGTGCAAGGAAGGAATCTTAAATAGTGTTCTCTTTTTTTCCAGATTGAAAATGTGGAGAATCCAGGAGACGACCCGTTTCTTGCGAGTGTGCTGTTCAGTGATGAGTGCACTTTCAGAAGTGATGGAGGCGTTAACCGCCACAACGCTCATCACTATTCCGGGGAAAACCCTCATTCCTTCCAGGTTAGCAGTCAGACAGTGAAATAATTGTAACGTTGTTAAATTGATTGTTTTACCAAAGTATCGTTGCTAACGCATTTTTCCTATTTTTGCAGCCAAACCATGTTCAGGGGGGGTTTAATGTCACCGTTTGGGCCGTGGGTGACCAAGTGATAGGGCCGTATTTTTGGCCGGATAATGTTACTGCTGAGGAGTATGGTAACTTGCTCAACTATGAGCTCCCCGACATGTTGGACGAGGTCCCACTTGAAATTCGCAGAAGGATGTGGTTCATGCAGGATGGGCATCCAGCTCACACATCACTGCTTGCTCGGGGGCTTCTCAACAGGGACTATCCCGGAAGGTAAATATATATCCTGTACCGGTCTACCGACAATTGATTGTCATCAACACGTGATGCATTTTGCCCAGTTCGAACTATTTGGCTAACTTTGCTTTTCTTTAAATATATTGCAGGTGGATAGGGAAGTATAGCCCTACTGTCGAGTGGAGCCCTCGCTCGCCTGATTTGACCCCACTAGACTTTTTTCTGTGGGGTTACATTAAAGACAGGGTTTATGGCACAGTCCCGGAGGACCGTGACACTCTCATGGCCCGGATTACGGTTGCCTGTGACGAGGTGACACCTCAAATGTTGCACAATGTCAGGAATAACCTGGCTAGACGGCTAACTCTGTGTGTAGAGAACATGGGGGGCCATTTTGAACACGGGGGCCAAAATGATCCCCACATTCCTGAGTAGAGTGTACCTTTTTGTTGAATTGTTTAATACGGACTTCTCTAGTCAGAGATTAACTATTTTTTGTTAGTGTTGAATATGGATTTGTCGACGCGTCCGGCGAACTAAGCCACATCTGTGGAGTGCCCGGTAAAAAAGCCACATTTGCGAAGCGCCCGGTAAGAAAGACGCATCTGTGTAGGATCTCTTATGGGGATGCGTCTTTCTTACCGGGCGCTTCGCAGATGTGGCTTTGTTACCGGGCACTCCATAGATGTGGCTTTGTTCGCCGGACGCGTCGTTGTCCAGTATTATATTAATTTATGTTTTGTTATACTTTTGATAGACTTCTTTAGTCAGAAATTACTTTATTTTTTGTTATTGGTGTTCTGACCTCTGGTCAGTTCATTATTACATTTACTTAATGATCTGTTATTGACTATTTGAAGTCAACCTTTATATCATAGTGACTTAAATAGGCTAATAAAAGAGCTTTTCTTTTAATTCTGATATTAAATTGCAGTTCATGATCTAAAACCATAAGCCACTTAAAATAAATTTGGTTTTTGAATCAAACTTTGTCTGGTGCAATTTATTTTCAAGTATTACACAATAACCTAAAACACATTTAAACAATTCAGAATAAAACTGAAATTTCGAATTGATTGCCTTTTTAAACAATCTTAATTTACGAAACCAACATAATTGATGAATAATCAATACCCTGTCCATGGATTATCCTGGCGGCGTGCAGCCCGCCCGAAAGGCCAGAGGACCAACATATGTCAGTAAAGAAAGAAAAGAGAAGTCGACAGGTGGCCCTGGGTGTCCGCACCGCGCAGGCGCGGTCCTAGCGGTGCACTTTAGTCGCCGGACTGGTTCCACCGCGGCGTGGGCGAGAGCAGCTTTTCAGTTAGGTGCAATATTGAAACTTTGAAACTTGCAATGATCGGTCAGGATGAGGGACTTGAAGGTGTCGCAGGAAAGCTGCGCGGTGCGGGATGATGCGTTGGGATGTGTCTGGCCGACCGACGTCATCGCCGTCCTCAGCGTCGCGCCTCGCGGGCCGCGAGTTCGTTGCAAAGGCTCTCTCCCTCTCCCTCTCCTAGACAGTCAACTTGACGCCCTTGGTGTGCGTGTGCGTGCGCGCTGCGCGTGCAGCTGCTGGAGGAGTCCTGACGGTGCACTCTAGTCGCCGGGCTGTCGCCGGGACGGCGGGCATCGCGGTGGGGGCGAGATCAGCCGCTGCCACAGGCCCAAGTTTGCGCTCAGGCCCCGCACTGCCACCGAGACTGCAGGCAGAGCGTTGCCGACACGTGCAGCGTCACCAAGTGGGAAAGTTATGTGAAAAAATCCAAAACTCGGTCAAAATGACGGCCTTGGCGGTTTTGGAGGCGAGCGGCGCTGTGCGGCAACGAGCGCGGGGGTGGCCCGGTCTGACTTTACTATCACGGTGTCGATGAAGTGCATGTTGGCCGGCGTGTCAGTGTCGTCATTAGATGTTGTAGCGAGGGTCCTGTACCCCCCAACTCATACTCTTGGTCAGGCGAGAAGCCGACTGACGTCGCCGGCTGTTCCCCCCTTCTCCTTCCGTCTCCCGGCCATGCGCTGTTGCCGAGTCGCCTCTAGCTCTGCCCAGCGCTGTGGAGCTCAGCCGTGCGCCCGCCGACGCGGGCATAGGCAGTCCCGCAAGTCTGTTGCGCATTCTCGGTACGTACTGACTATCTTCACTTCCAATCCCACCAAAACCTTCAAAATCAAAGAGAGAATTTAAAGGTTACTTAATTAGTTCAATACTGGCAAACAAGTAAAAAGTCTCTTTGCACACAAGAAAACCTATATCATTTTCAATCTTTTTACAAAGGAGAATCAACTTGTGCCAAAATTTTATGAGACTTTACTAAGTAAATTTATACTTTGGTAACACATACCTCCATGTCGATACCTCGAGTATGATGGGAAGAGGGCAGAAAACAAATTATGGGTATCTTTTGAAATGATAGTGGAGTCTTGGCCCGATGCTGAAAACAAGATGACTGTTAGGTGACACAATTAACAGTGCAAATGCATATGTTGTGCACATCCAATTAGAGAAACATACCTGCTGGAACTTCTTGTGCCATAGCCTGGTGAAATTCTTCAGAGTGAGAAACATTTATAGTATGGTATGTTGGGCAAGTGGTCCTAAACACACTTTCTTCTGCACAATATGAAAAAAAAGAAACACAACAAAAACGACAAATATGAGTTTACTGTGCATGCAAACAAACATCAATCTGCACAATTTCTTAATATGAAATTCACCTAGGCCGACAGTCCTGGTGTTGTCAGTATGCTGTAGAGTGTCAGAGAAAATCAATTCCTCGTGCTCATAAGAAGTTGACGGCTGGCTAGTGGCATCAAATGTAGCTGGTGTTAATGCGAGTTGACCAGTACTCTGGCTTGCAAACTCACTTCCCATGGTAAATTTTGCTTCCACTGATTGTTCAAAACTTAGAGCTTGGAATTCACCTGTGACAACATGGATTCAAGTTAAAATTTAAAAATTACATATACTATGTGATAAGCTTTAAGGTTTTAGGTCAATAGTGGTATGACACTTGCTTGTTGGGAGGGGACACACACCTGAAATGAAGGTCTTGGGGCTGAAATCTGTTGGTTGAGATGTGAAACCTTTTGCACCTTGGAAGGCCGTGGCCGGAAAGTTATGGAGTTGCGCTCGAGCCAAAGGATCCAATACCTCTGGTTGGGCATCTGGGCGATGTTCATCGTCATCACTGTAAATTAAAACAATCAAAGTTGTTGTACAGATTTATATTGGCTCGGCGGAAAGCTTCAAAAATGTAAGGTTAGGTTCGCTGCCTCTCGTGACACAAATTTCGTGATTTCACCAACGTCCAAAGAAGCGAAAGAATAGCAGTAAAAGCCGACCTCGTGCTGGCTGTCGATTGACAATTTTCACGGTTTGAGAATCCACGTCCGGGCAAGGTTATAAGGTGTACGAGAATCAGAGCGAAGCTGGCCTAGCACAGCGCTTGAAATTCATTTCGTGAATAGCATTAGAACTTACTGGGGAGGCGACTCCGTAGACGGGGTAGGCCTCTTCTGTCCGCGCCTCGATTCGTCGTCACGTTGCATTTTAGTTGTGTAAGAAAATGTTGAGAATAAAATTGCGGTCCGCAACTTCTCCCGGCACATACAACCCAAACAACAACACGGCGACGTGAGGCGGGGGCGGGCGGGGGCAGAGCGGTCGAGGCACAGCCGCAACCTCCGCAACCAGGCGCTCGGCACTTTGTGTCGGCACGCTCGGCACCGCCAACTCGCACCCGACCCCAGGGCCCGGCGGCCCGGCTGGTTGCGATCACAAAACAATTCAGTCCGATTTTCCCGTGAAACTATAACGAAGATCGTAATAAGTTGTATAGTTCTAAACATTCTCCCGCCTTCATCTACCACAAAAAAACACAGGTGAGTTTTACAATTTTAGCCTTAGTGGTGGTACTCTGTGCATGTGGGAAATGCGGAAATTCTGCTCGCTCAATGTTAACATTTTAAACTTGGGCACATTTCCGGTCCGATACCTGTGCCTCTACTGTTCCGTGAGTGTAAACAAGCAGGCCCGCCCTTCCGCCAAACGAGGTTGACAGCTCCGCTTCGCTCCGCCGGCAACTCCGTTCGCCAGGGGCCGGGCCTGCGTGGCCGGCCGGCGGCGATGGTCGGGCCTGCGGCCCGACCATTTCTGCCACGCGATTTGCTGAAGAACATGATCGAATGATGTGGCGGGCCTTCGGCCCGCTTAAACCCGTCGTCTTTGAGTTTGCCCCAAAGACTCGAGAAAGGGATGTAACGGTGAAGCACCGCGACTACAACCCACCCTTCTGCTTAGAAAACGTGTTTTGGGGGTGGGGGGAGAGTTTCCTTTGTATTTTGCGGTTTTTAGGCCTTTTTCGGTAATTGTTTACTTGAGTGACTCCTCGCCCTGGAGTCACTCAAGTATACCATCGGAAAGGTATTTTTCAGTAGAATCCTGAACAGTATTTATAAATTGGCGCTCGAGTCTGGTTTTCCTCAAAATTAAATAAATATGCGTCGCCGCTAACCTTCAGATGCACTTTGAAGACGGCAGAA